GGAACAGCCAAATGGAAGCCCTTTCTGAAAGCTGTGCCTGGCATGGGCTAAGCATACGCCCTTCCCTACCCCTGGAAAACCTTGTGAGACGTAAGGCCTCCTGCCTAGGGAATTGCTCCACAGTTTGGGAGCCACGTCAGGCAGAAATAACCCCTGCCTCTGTGGCCCCACACTCACCAGCACAGTATATTTGTAGGCACGGTGGATGACGATGTTGTAATTAAAGACTTCCACTTCCACTTGCTTCACCCACAGGGCCAGAGAGGTGTCCCGATCCTCATTCTTGGCTGTGACAGTGAATGCTGGGAAAGTGTCTGAGCGCTCCACCCTTGGCCGGGTGATCGTGGTGCACAGGACCAACGCGCAGCTGCTCTGGAAGTCAAAGGAGTAGCCGTCGAACGTCAGGTAGTGTCCATAGCCGGAGACGATGCAGGAGGCGTCGGTGCGGGCGTGACAGTAGTAGAGGCCGTTCTCCTCCAGGCAGTACTCGTCGTCCTTGCAGGAGACATTCTCACAGTACACGCTGTTGTCGGAGCCGTTGCAGTAGCAGAGGAAGTGGCAGGAGATGTCCATCCAAAAGGTCTGGTTGGTGGCCAGCTGGCGCCCCTCAAAATTGCAGCCGCACTCACTGCGGGGAACACAGCGGGTGCCGCGGAGGGCGAAGCCCTCGTCGCACTGGCAGCCCTCGGTGCAGGTGTCCGCGCAGACGGGGCCCGTGGCCAAGGTCTCGCAGGTCTCCACGCAGCTCATGCACTCCTCGAAGTGGCTATTCTCCATGCAGGTGAGAGCTGTGGGGCCGGCAAACATCGAGCGTGAGTTCCCAGCTCCAGCAGCCCCGGGGCAGCATGGGGTGAGGGAATTGGCAAAAGGTGGGAATGGGGTGAGTGGTGACAAATTTGGGAGAAAAATGCAAGAGGGGAAATAGTTCCAGCAGCCTGACAGCCACGGCTCTTCCCATCCCCTCGGTAACTCCTGCTCTCAGCCAGCACCCTCCTCGCCTCACAGCCCTGTCCTACCACGTGACAAGCAACACCTCCCCGTGCTATTTCGAAGGGTACGAGGCCAGGGTCCCTGAACGAACGCTTCCCTTAAACCCCTGTGATGGAGACGGGAGCTGCCTCCCCACCGGCTACTTCCACACTGGGAATTTTCCACATTCACTTTTGAATTATGAATGTTTTCCCGTCAACAGCAAATTTATAGCAACAGCTAAAAACAAGTGTTATTCAAATTATCCTCTGGTGGTGGTGTACAGCACTGTCAGACACCATCTGCAGCTCCGGAGTGCTCCTACACCGCATCATAAAACTGCTGGTACCTCCTGAAATGCACCCTGAAATCTCTTCACTGGGAAATCTGTCTCTGCCAGCATGAGTGCTGCTTAGAAACAACTGTCACGGTTTAACCCCAGTCAGCACCTGAGCACCGCACAGCCGCTCCTCACCTCCCCGTCCCCTAGTGGGATAGGGGAGAGCATTGGAGGAAAAGGTGAGAAAACTCATGGATTGAGACAATAACAGTTTAATAATAAAACATAAATGAAATAAAATAATGATACTAATAATAATATGTAAAGGAAAATACTCTGGTACAGAGGAGCACGCTGTGGGTAAGGGGTACCCACTGGAGATGAGAGGCAGTGGGGAAGAGAGCCCACACTTTTCGGCATCCCATAAGAAAAGCTGCTCTACCTCTGCACACCTGCAAGCTCCTGACAAAAAGACTCTGCCCGAGGTTGGGTCCTACGTCCCTTTCTCCCCCCCTCCCTGGGTACTTAAACCCTCGAGTGGACTCACGGCAAAAACTGTGGCTCCGCCACTGGCCGACATCCACCTCGGCGTTCTTGCAGGCACCGGCGTAGCGCGCCACAGAATCGCACAGCTCCGACAGGTTGCCCCCGCTCTGGCACAGACGGAAGAGGCACGTCCTGTAGTAGGCCGAGACGTTGACCACACCGTGGCACTCCAGGAAGGAGCTGTTGGTGGGGTCGTTGATGATGCCGCAGTTGGAACGGCTCCTGTAGGACTTGAGCAGCTCCGAGTCGTTGTTGCAAGCCTTGAGGAGATCCCCGCACTCCCCGTTGCAGATCTCGTCGAACGTGGTCCAGCTCTCCAGGAAGAGCTCCAGGTTGTCCGTGCACTTGCCCTTGGGCAGGCAGAATTCGTCGCTGCTGTTGCCGTTGAAGAAACCGCACAGGCCCCCGGTGCAGTTGAAGTAGGCGGTGGAGAGGTGGATCTCCAGGAGGCCCGAATCATAGTAGCCGATAGCCAGGAGCCCCTCGGACTCCATCATGGTGCCGTTGTTGCTACGGTAGATTTCCAGGCGGCCAGAAGGGTGGAAGTAGGGCAGCTCCACATCGTAACCGTTCACCTGCAAATAACGAGCAGATCAAGACACTTCAGGGAGGGCAGCATGACTCTGCACGGCCATTCCCATCTGCTGGCTGCACCGAGCTGGGTACGCTCACAACGTCCTGAACGGCACCCCACCCTCAAAGGCCTGGGGCCTCTTTCGACTGGGGGGATATGGCTGTCTCCTTGCACTTCGCCCCACAAACAGAATATTTTTCCAGGGGAAAAAACATGTTGCAGGAGGCAGCCACAACATCAAGAAAGCCTCCAGAACCGACTCAGCAACCCAATGGCAATAACGGCTCTGGGACAACAATTTTGCAGGCACCGAAAGGGCCTCCGCGCAGTGGTGGCCCACCCCTGTTTCGTTCAAGTGCCACCGTTGTGCATGAGGCCCTTGCCCAGGGGAACTGGGGCCACAGACCCACAAGCCCTTCTCCAAAGGGACACTGGATCAATGTGTGAGCCACTGTCCCTGCCCGGCAGCACCCTTACCTTGATCTCTGACAGGCTCGCGCCTCCGATCTTCACCTCTTGGCCGACGGCCTGGATCCGCACAACACGTAGCCCGCTGGGAGCGGATCCGGGCTTCTTTTGGCTGATGTCCACCTCAATGAATTCTGGTCTCTCCAGGCAGGTTTTGAGCAACGTGTAGGAGTGCTCCAGCGGATAAGGGAAGGAGATGCCGTCAAACGTCTGCAGCACTTGGTTCTGCCCTACCAAACACAGGCTCTCCCGCTTGGGGTAGCAGCCCCGGTAGCCGTTCTCAATGGCGCAGACCTCTCCTTCGGGGCAGGTGGTGTTAAAGCACCTGGCCTCCCCACTGTCCTCACACTGGCACTCTACCGTGCAGTCTGCTGCCACCCAAAAAGACTCCCCGATGGCGTAGTACCGGCCGTCCACATCGCAGCCACATTTCTGAACGGGGATGCAGCGATCCGTGCTGAGGACGTGGCCCTCGTTGCACTCACAGCCCTCGGAGCAGGGCGAGGTGCAGGCCAGCGGGGCCGTGAGGTCGGAACATGTGGCGGGACAGCTGCTGGCACACACTGAGTAGTGGCTGAGCTCCGGGCACCGCACGGCTGTCACTGCGGATGCAGAGGGGAGACAAACAGGAGGACCATATTACAGCATGGTTCGGGGCCAATTACCTCCTTCCCACACAAGATGACAAAGAGCACAGCATGACCTGGGAGCCTTGCTTGACAGCAGACATGGCCCCTTTTTTTATTACACCCATGCAAGCAACAGCTTCTCCAGAACAGCCCCAGAGCTGACAAGCCACCCACAGCTCCTTAATGCTGCAAGTGAGGAGGGTGGGCCAAGAAGCGTGCCATCAGGCAGTCCCCGTTCCAGTCCATCTCTCATCGCGACGTCTGCAGAGCAATGTGGAGCTCCCACCTCGTGCCTGACTGGTGCAAGAGTCTGATGCTATGGAGAGGAGGGACAAATCGGCTCTTGCCTGACTCCCTCCCCTGAATTTCTCCCCCATCATTTCATGTACTGCTGGGCCCGCAGACAGACCCCCGGCATCATTCCATTCCTCCAGAGGGGAAGGCTCTTGGCAGGAGCACGGAAACACTTACTGCAGCCCGTCTGGGTGCGCCACTCTCCCACCGAGATGCCCAGGGCCTGGCACACGGCGGCGTACGCCTGGATGGCTTGGCACAGGCCGGTGCCGTTATCCCGCGCACTGCAGAGGTCGTAGACGCAGCTGTGGACGAAGGCGGTGGGGTCCACGACGGCGCCGCACTCCCACAGCGGCCCGCCGCTCTTGTTGATGAAGCCGCAGTATTCGGAGGTGAAATAGAGGGTCTCGGCGGCAGCGTCACAGAGGGTGCAGTTGTCCAAGCAGCCGGGTGAGCATTTTCGCTCGGGGTGTGGCACTCGCCAGCTCTCGCCCAGGTCCGGCACGGAGGTGGCCAACCTCCCATCTGAGCGGAGGGTATCGTCCTCAGGGTCTTTATTGTAATTCCCACACAGACCACACGTGGCGTTGATGTACGTGCCCGGGACGGAGACGGAGGCGTAGTGTTGTCCGTCGTAGGTCACCAGCAGGCCAAAGTCAGTCTCCAGGGCTGTGGACAAACCACTTTGGTAGACTTTTATTGCACCCAGTTCCAGAGAGATGGGTAGGGACACCACCAAGTCATCCACCTGCAGGAACAACACCAGACGACTGAGCCGGTGCACGCAATAGCAGAGCCCTCATACTGGGACGCAGACAGCCCCGTTACGGGATCTTAGGGTTAGGAACACGTGCAGAAGGACAGCCGTCAGTAAGCCACAGGCATTTGCCACCACACCTGTCACCCATGCCCCATCCCTGAGCGACGTGTGGGGCCCAGAAGCGCCGTCCCATGCTCTCTGGGCTGCTGCCACGGTCTCGCCGCCACCTCGGAGAAGCCAACCCAGCAAGTTCTGCCCTTTCAGTCGGGCTCTTACCTTCGCTTTCCCAAAGCTGCCCTTGGGGAGGACGATCTTGTGTGAGTAGACCTCCACAAAAATATCCCTCAGCCAGGAGACGGAGGAGCCGCCTCGGTTCTCGTTCTTGGCCTCCACGCTGAAGTAGGGCAGCTGGGAGCCTGGCCAGCACTGCCTGGCGAGGAGGTAGGAGCAGGAACCCTGGAAGTGAAAGAGGAAGCCGTCGAAGGTGTGGTAATGTGGATCTCCAAACACCACGCACGTGCTGCTCTCCACTGGCACGCACTGGAAGAACTTGGTTTTCAGCTCGCACACTTCAAAGGGACCGCAAGCCATCTCCTGGCAGAAGATCTCGTTGTTGAAGTCCAGGCAGCGGCACTTGGTGGTGCAGTTGGCGTTGTCCCAGAAGATCTCCCCTTGACGGAGAAACTGCCCTAGAAAGACAGAAAGGGAAAAACCCACAATACATCACTTCTCTAAACAGAGGAACACACCCTAACTGCGCTGCGCCAGTCCTCGGAGGGGTCTGCCGGCCCCACGCTCGAGACCGCTGCCGAAGTGTCCTGCTACCACGCTTCTCGGCCGCTTTCTTTGTGCAGACTCCTGGCAAGAGCCACTCAGCAAAGCGCTGCGATCGCGAGCTTCATTCTCCATGTACGGTGCGTCCCCTTCATGTCCTACCCATGCCGCCAGTCCACGGGATGGTGTGAGTGCTGTCACGATTCCGGGGCTGGTGTCACACTATGCAGGCTGGCGAACTCGAAGGCTGTTCCTTCCGTTTTGGACACCCACCACCCTCTTCCTGCTTCAGTATTGCGGGACGCAAGAGCCATTTGTGCTACTTTCTCAAAGGGAAAGGCCACTGGTAAAGCTCACGCCTTTTGGAGGCCATTTTCAGCGCCGGCGCTGTACTTGTGCTCTCCTTCAGCTTTGTTGCCCTCTCCATAATTCCTCCATTCACATAACCTCGCTGGTCGAAGAGCGACTCCACCATCAGCGGCCCAGAAGCAATTCGCTCCCATTCAGAAAGTGCTCATAGTAGTTATGAAACCCAAGAGCTGTCGATAAGGATCTTCCACACCATACACCAGGGACAACGGGAGACGAGGAGCGATCGCACAGCAATAGACCGAGCAGACTTGTTACACGGCGGTACTATAAAGGGAGACAGGTTTGTCTGGTGAGAGACATGAGAGGCAGAGAGAAGACGGGAGAACAAGGGTGGCAAATACCCATGAGAGTTTCCGTCTCCTCCATATGGCCGTCTTTCACACTTCTCAGGCGCGCGGCTTCCGCCGTGTGCACTGCCTGAATTTACCTCTCCTAAACTTTTTGTTCTCTTCCCTGCCTCCTACAAAAAATTGCTATTTTCTGCTTCCCTGCAACGAATAACATCTCTTAGCAAGACGCGCTTGTGAGGGCTCTCACACCAACCATCCTGGTGCGGGGGACTTGGGCACGGCAGGCCCCCTCATCTCCGACGCCTCACGCTGCATCTCTCACAGAGAGCCACCAGCTTTCCACCCTGAAACGCAAATCCAGTGGTGGGAGCTGCCCATGCTGCCCTTGTCACCTGCAAAGGCAGGACTGGCTTTCAGCCCCCAGGCAATGTCCAGCCTTTCTTCCTGGGGTCAGCAGCTGGTGGTGGCTGGAGCAGTTGGATCCAAAACCTCTGCTGCGGCTGCAAGAGCTGTGGAGTCTCACAGGCCTTCTTCGGTCCAGTCCTAAACCAGGGCATACAGAAGCCACATTTCTCAGAGGGGTGATACCTCCAGTATCCATTGGCAAGTGACAATCCTCTCTTCCTAGAAAGACTCCCAGAGCACAGTGGATGGTCCTGACAGTTTTATTTGTCAAATGGTAATGCAATAACCTCTCTGCAGCAAAATTCTTGTGCAGTTGCTGTGTGCCTCTATTAATCCCTTTCTATCCCCACGCTGTCGGTGACACACACACAGACATTAACTGGTGCAGGGATGTGGCATTTGTGCTGCCCAGAAAACCTGCTATTCCTCCTGCAGAAACAAGGGAAATGGGACCACACCATCAGCTTTCCTACTCTGCGGGTAAGAGGAAGTTGCTGTCCCCACGTCTTTCCCATTGCCTCCATCAGCGTCACAGAAAAGAATCGAGACGCTGGCTTGGCCAAGCAGGACAAACAACAGCTGATGACGGCTTCTTCACATGCACCGTCGAGGATGCTCTCCCACTGAACAAGACGTGCCCATGCTGACACGCATGACAGACCTCTCTGTCCACTCTCTAAGACATCAGCCTTTTGCCACGGGCAGGCTGACAATTACCTCTGAGAGTCGGGTGATGACTTTGGGCTGCGTACAGCAACTCGGAGATGTGCACAGGACCCGAGCACCGCTCACATGTTTCTGTTCCCACAGCTGTAGCTTGAGGGAATGCCTTGGCAAAACCACAAATCACACAGCATCCCAGAGCAGTCAGACACCTCTCCACCAGCATCCCAACAGTGTTATCTTTTGCTACACTGCACCCCAAAACCTGAAAAAAGGCAATGCCATTTTCCCCTTACCTCTCAGGCTGCAGCCGTTGGCTGGATCTATGTCTCTGCCATCTATTTTGAAAGCCCAGCGCCCAGGGACATTAACGTTGGTCGTTTCTTCAATATTGACTATGTCTGGGGTTCTGGAGCCTGGGATGCTGAAAAAGTTGGTGATATTTCCACCATTGAAGCCAGCCTAAAACAGAGAGAGAGCGAATTCCATCACACATCTTTGCCACAGGAGAGCGATGCTGCATTTCTGCACTTCTCTGTCCCCCGCCATAACTCCTGAGTGTATCTTCTTTAGTTTTAAAGTCTCTTTCCAGGGATTTCAGCTAGTTTGGATGTGAGTGAAAAGCTCAACAGCTATTACAAGCAGTATGGATGTATATATATATATACATTTATGTGTGCATATGTATGTACATATTGATCTATAGGTGTATGTATTGAATGGCTGAGATAAAGCGAGGAAGCGACAGAGGGAGGCTCCCCTTATGCAGGGAGCCTCGCCCCCCTCGGGCAGATGGACTGGCTGCAGCACTGCTGCTAATTTTGGATCACTTCTCACACTGGGCCTGGCAGCGGGCTTGCAAGGCCCATGCTGGGAGCACTGAGGGACCGAGTGGCATGAGCGAGCACGGATACACTGCGGAAGCTACAGGCGGCCATCCAGGAGCTCGACAGAGACAGGGCTATGGGAGCTCGAGCCTCACCTGAGCCATCACTCCACCGAGACCGGTCAGGGGGTCCCCTCCGCTGGCTGTCCCTGTGGTCCAGCTGATTTCTTGGTAGTTAAATATGGCAAAAGATGACACACCGTCTGTGATCAGGACAGCTTGGAAAGTGTTCACCTGTTGAAAACCGCAAGAACGTTCACAAACTGCTTTTCTCACACTGCTCGCCTACCCTTCTGCCACTTCCATCTCTGACTTGGGCGAGACGCAGGAGCCTCATGGTGAAGGGTGGCAGAAGGCGAATGAGACCCAGTAATATGCTCACGCTCGCTGCTGCAGCTCCCACCACCTGGGAGGATGACAAGACCGCCTCTGATCCAACTGACCGCCAATAGATGGCAGCAAGAGAATAAGCTCACAGGGAAAAAGCAAGATTCGGGTTGTTATGACCTGTTATCTTCCATTACCCTACCTTAGCTTTATTCCTCGCCACGTTATCTTACCCGGTTCCCTTCCGCATTCATATCCTGCAACACTGTTAAGGGCGGATTACATCCAAGTCAGCCATGTATACTACATGCTTGCCTTGGCTGCCAAATCCCCTCGCTACCTGCTAAATCCGCCGCCTGCGTTCTTCCTTTCACTTGAAATGACTCTGCATTTCCAGCCCCCCAAACTCCAGATACATTCACGCCACTGCCAGCCCAGGGCCCAGGTGGGAAGGGCAGCACAGCCCTAAGCTCTTCCCTTTGATGACTCTGCAGAAGGACAGAAGAGGCCTCTCCCCTTGGGGTATCTCCAGTACCCATGCAGACCCAGCAGCAGAGGTCATCACTGGGAATTAACAGTCAATCACTTCTCTCAGCTTTCTGCATTTTCCTGTCCTTCCCATCCATGCCCGTGCTAGACCACTCTGACCCTGCTGTAATAAACTGCTCGTCCTGCCTCTGAGCAAGCAGGATTTTAGCGGAGGACAAAACAATTAACAGTGCTATGGGAAAGCACACTGATCGAACCATCTCATGCTAGGAAACGTTAGGGCTGCCAGCGACCCCCCCGGCACTGGAAGCACAGAGAGCTGAGCCACTGCGCCTTAACAACAGGTCACACGTGTGGCTGGATGAAGGGAAGATGCCAGAACTGAGGGGCTGGGGGTCAGTGTGCACCCCATTATGTCCCCTTACAGCAAACCCGCTAGTTTGGTTTGAGCACAAATGCCTGAAGACTGAGGGGGGGACCCCAGGGCTGCACTCACTACTTGCCTGCCACAAGGGATGTCACTTCCAAGGCGCATGAGGCTCCCACCATGGGAAATCTGGAGAACGGAGGCAAAGCCACCTGTATGAGCTGTGAGGTGTGGGCAGGGTTCAAATGGCACAGTTCACACCAGGGCAAGCAGGAGAACAAAACACCGGGAAGCCACCATTTCCAGTTCTGCATCCTTTCCCTGGGATTCTGCCTCCTGTGTCTGGTTCCCCCTCACTGCCTCGGCACACCTGCTCACCCTTGCCAAGCCTTTTCCCAGGACCGTGAGCCCGGACAGCACTCACACACAAGGGCAGTATCACTTCGACAGTGCAACAACAGCTTCTCGGTGGAGCAACAAACCCCGACCCCGTCAGGTGCCTCGTGGAGAACGGCAGGAGCTGACCCGGTCCCCTGCTTGGTGCTCACGGCCAAACAGGACTCCAGCACCCCAGCCGTCCAACACGGCTCTTGGAACCTGAACCCATTCGCTCGGGTGCCATCGAGAGACAAGTAACCGCGGTATCCCCGAGGCCACAGTCGCAAAATTGTGTTCTGCAGCTTTTCTGCATTGCGATGAATTTCCTGCTTAAGTTGCATCGTGCTATTCCGCGTGCCAACCCGGAGCCCTGGCCGCTATTGAACGGGAAGGCTGTTCTATAACAAAATAAATGGCATTGTGTTGCAAATGTAATTCTTCAGGCAATACACGAATCTCTGTATTGCTTGCTGTCTGCAAATATATATATATGGTTGGAGTTTTTTTTTTGCAAGCACTGCCAGGACTGGCAAAAAATACGCATTAAAACTCGAGCCTCTCTAACAAATGGAAAAAGGCTAAACTGTTTATCAGAGCCAACTCCTTGAGACAGAGGAAGTCAGCTTTTGACACTCACAGCACACAGGCTAATCCTAAACAACCCTTTTCCCAAACAACAGGAGAGACCTCTCGCTCGCTATCTGCATCCCAAGCTTCCTCACAGGCCTTACCATTGATATGTCAGCGGTCCAGCTCAGACCTCCCAAAGTCAGCTGCTGCTGCAGCTCACATACTAACCAGAGAGTTAAAAGCTATTTGTGCCTTAAAAAACACCACCCCACCATCCTCTGAAATATGACTCACATTCATGGAAAGACAACAGCAATCACACCTAAGTGACACTCTGGTCAGTCTGGATCAGTCTCCAGCAATCCCAAAGTGCTGCCAGTATTCCCTTTGGTTTTCCCCTTCCTATTTTGACGGCCGCGTGGGATTTCAGAGCAGCCGTTCAGCCCTGTTCTACAAGATGCCTTTGCTGCCCTCCTCGATTCACGGTGCGGACAGAGAGTTTCAGCTCCCGCCACAGAAAAAAGCCATCACAATTTGAAAGGAAAAGAGGGTTTTTTTCCAAATAAATACAAACGAAAGCATCTTCTCTTTGCTGTCTCCAGCTCCTCAGAGAGTGGATTACTTCCAAAATGCAATTTACTGCAGATTCCTGAACCAGGGCCTTTTCTGCTGGAGCAGTCCTCCTTCCTTGCAGAAGCAAGGAGCAAATAACGACCTTAGCTTTGTTTCAAAGCTGCCACGGCCTTGCAAAGCAACCTAGGGGTGCAAAACAGAGCAGACTCACACTGAATCCCAGGTAGATGTGAGCAGTGAGGAGGGAAGGGCGAGCTACAAAATCCAGCTTCAAGAGGGTGACCGAGGAGAAGGGAGCGTGGGTCTCGTCCACCCCCACAGCCCAAAGGAGCAAATAACGACCTTAGCTTTGTTTCAAAGCTGCCACGGCCTTGCAAAGCAACCTAGGGGTGCAAAACAGAGCAGACTCACACTGAATCCCAGGTAGATGTGAGCAGTGAGGAGGGAAGGGCGAGCTACAAAATCCAGCTTCAAGAGGGTGACCGAGGAGAAGGGAGCGTGGGTCTCGTCCACCCCCACAGCCCATTCTTTCCATCACTCTGCTGCTTTTTTTTCATTAGGAGGCCTCACTCACTCTCCTGGGGGCTAGTGTGGCACCAGTCTATCCTGGACCCCCGGCAGTCCTGATCCAGCATGAAGGGTCAGCGTGGAGCTGCCCTACAGTCCCACTTTAGGGTAGGCTGCAAGCATGTGCATGCTTTGGCATGTCCTTTATCCTCTGCTCCATCCCTTGGCACTACTCGCTATGTTGCAGCCTTGGGGGGAGCCCTGCACCAGGCCGGCTGACACTGAGTGCTTCCGGGTCTGGCCCCATCACTGCCACGATAAGGTGCCTCCAAACTGAATCACTCCTGATAAACTGACAGCACAGGAGTGGGTGGGAGCCTCGAGGAGTTTGTATCACAATGGAGCTACTGTTCAATGCCAAAACTCTGGCTCCTTTATAAAGGCCTTTCCTCCAAGGTGCCTTTAGCCCCCTGCAAAAGTAGCTGTTTTATCACTGTGGAAGCACAGGGAAAAACAAAGGTCATGTATCATGGCACAGAGGAAAAATGAAATCTGCACTTGCATCTAACAGAAAATAACCACACAACGATCAAGCTGAAAACTTCTGACTGGTGTCAGAGCCTTGTTTAGACACGCTGCCTACAAAGACCAAAGAGGTGATGCTTTCCCTGAGAGCAGGGAGCAAGGCTCATATGGCTCCTGTGGGAGAACACGAAAGGATCGTGGTGCTCCTCTGCCCGAAAGGGAACTGAGAAGCAGGAACACAAGGCAACTCCCTTAATTTTATGCAGAAGGGCCAGGACAGTTATAGATCTACAGGCACGTACTCAACCATCAAACACCATCTGTCAAGAAGCACAGCTGATCGCTCTTACCGGCGTCGTGCTGCTTCCTCCGTAGAAAGTGACTTCCTCCCAGGTGACGATGAAGATCCAGATGGCAGAGAAAGAGGACATGTCTTTGAAGTGCTTGTGGATGTCTTTGGAGGCTCTCCTCAGCAGCTCGGGGTCCGCGCTCTCCCTGTAGTAGATTTCTCCCCGGATGCCGTTGTGCACGTCGGCCCAGAAGGGCGCGACGAAGGCCCGCCCGTCGGTCAAGGGGAAGGCTTCTGGCGTGAACTGGCTGACGAGTGCGTTGAAGGAAATCACGCCGTTGTTGTTGACCTGCACACAGAGACCCGCTTTCACTTGAGCAAGCCTTTGCAGGGAGCAGAAAGCTGCTGATTTACCAGAAAACGTGGGGTGAGTGACACTCAGCGAAACAGCCCGACCATCTAGGCAGAATTCATCTTACCAGTGTTTTCCAAAGGCTGAGTGCAGGAAGCCCCAAGGGGGACAGAACCCTGAAAAGTATCCAGGGCTCCTAAAGACCAACACAGGAGAGGCACCCTTCAGGACAGGATGGCACCCAGCTCAGCTGGGACCCTGCCTTGGGGCCCTGGGTTCACCCAGCCTTCAAAGGGCAGCTCTGCAGCACTGAGAGACCCAGCTGCGTGACACGGGTGGCTGCACGGTGCGAGGGCTCCCGGGCAGAAGAGCTAAAGCATTGGGCCCGCTGCCTTTGGCTTTGCTGTGACAGATCCTGGGGCTCCTCGAGAGCAGCAGCACACGTGACGCCAAGGGCAGCCTCCCCAGAGACTGCTGAAGATGCTCCCCAAAATGACTGTTTTTGCAAAGGGTGGAGAACAAGTGGCCCTGCTGTCCTGGATGCTGAAATCTCCCACTGCCCAGGGGTTTGAAACCCCTCGGGATTACTGTTTCCCCAGTATTGCCATGTACAAATATGAACTGGTCAGGCTGGGGAACTAATGCCTCTCTTCTGAACCTGCTGGGCTGGCAGTTAATATCTCGCTTTGGACAACACACACCCACAGAGACGGGCTCGCCGTAACAAAAGACGGATGCACTTGGGATCTGGCATGTAGTCACGCTGACTTAGGCCCCTGTCTAAGGCACTGTTTCGATGTGCTCAGTGAACCCTCCCTTAGCCCAGCCCAGAGAAGCCAGCCTCTCCTTCACCACGCTTTTGCTGCGCCATCATCCGAGAACAGCCGCAGCCTGTCCTTGTCTCGGGCACCTATATATGGGTCCAAACCATTGCCCTTTTTTTTCCCCTGTGGGTCTCTGCATGTTCTTGTTTCTTGTCATGTAACAGGAATAATGTTCCTTGTGTCAAGGCCTTAGCTTTGCTGTACCATTTAATCACCTACAAAGAAAATTTATTGCCTTTTATATTCCTTCCCCATGAACATTAGCCCATTAAATACACCTTTGACTTTCTTAATCATAAAACCTATCAGTTCATGAAATCTAAGAACTCGTCAGGTAGGTGCTAATAAATCTTCCCATTCCTGACGATGGGCAGAGCGCATTAAAAATGCAACCGCTAATGGCAGGGAAAAGAATAAAGGGGTCGTCTTCTCCACTTACATAAACGCTTCTGTACGGGGCTCCAAAAAAGATGAATGGGACAGAGATCTTGATCTCGGGAGAGCTTCCATCATCCACTTTGGGCGTTTTCGTGTCGTTCTGCCAGAACGGATACAGACTCGCCATGGCATGAGCTGGAAGGAGAAGGAGAAGAGAGTCCTTACGGCAATGTCAGGACGGCTCCTGACTTCAGAGAGGCCATGGCAGGGCCCCCGGGGTTGACTCATACGATGAGCGAAATCGCTGCCTTGCCCTCACCTCCTTCCCGGCGCAGACGCACCGGGAATGTGGAAGGTTCTGCGGGGCGTCGGGGCAGAGCTGAACCCTACGCTGTGCACTTGAGGCAGCAGATTAACACCGACCAGCCAAACCACAGCTACGATGCCATGTTCAGCATCGCTGCTGCTGAGGAAGACAGCACCTCACAGACGGTGAGGTACGCGGGTGCCTGGAGACCAAACAGCACCCAGACCGACCCTCAGAGCTGCGCTCCTGGCAGCGGCCACCCTCCTCCTGCCTGCACGGCAGAGCCCTCCCAGGCGACGCAGCCAGCCCGCCCCACCAGACCCCCGAGTGCTCCTGGCACTGGATTACAGCCCAAGGTGTCACAACTGCTCCAACGTTTCCTGGCAAAGTCAAATTTCCTGCTAAAAGGCACTGACAATGAACATAACTGCCTCTCCTAAAAATATTTCAGAAGACTCTTTTGACATGTTTCAATACAAGCCTGCTGCTTTCTACCAGACTAAAATCCATTTTCCATCAGCTTGAGTCATAAGCAGGCACTTCTGGCCCCAAGGCACATGTCCTTTCCCATTCCAGACCCTGCCAGATCTCTGCTGTCATCTCATCCCCCATTTCTTCCAGTTAGCCACTGGTGTGGCTCCTCACGGAGCAATCAGGGATTTTGCCAGCTTTTCCTCCTCCCCTCTTTGATATAGAAAAGCAGTGCCCTGTCCTCGCAACATTCAGTCTCGGCCGACATGAGCCACCAGGCTCTGAACAATCCCGTCTCTGTTCGCCTGGATGCAGGACATGCTTTTAATTCCCTGGGTCCTACCCTGTGCTGTTCAGGGGCCTCCAGCCAAGGACAGCTTGCTCAGTGCCCTGCCATTATTACAGATGCAGGACGGGGCTCTCGGTGTTGCCCAAGCTGGGGAATTCTCTCTCCTAGCCACCCTGAGGATGCTTCCTCCTCGAAACTGTCTGGGAGCAGGGAGAGTCACTGGCTGACTCTGGCTCAACTGGTCCAACTTTCCTTGGGGAAAATGAGACAAGGGGAAGCCTGGCCTAACCCGCTGGCATCCTGACTTCTTAAGACACACACGTGTGACCTGAGTGCCTCGCCGGACATGAAAGGAGGTGGTGTGAACCACAGGCTTGGTTTCACAGTTATATCCAAAGGGCCACAGCAAAACTCCTCTCTGCCACGTAGTAAACCAAGTCATTTCATAGCTTCTACACACCTGACGAGTTATTGCAGCTGAGGCATAGCTACAAGACATGGATTTTACTTCTTTTTTAAATGGGAAACTCAGCAAATACTTCTTGATGCCAGCTTCTTTCGTACGGCTAGTGCATTGCTACCTCATCTCACCTAGCCAAGCAGACGAGCGGGCCCCACTGACTACGATTTTTGCCCCGGTGGCATTTCCCTTGGGTGATCTGGTGGCCTCATTTCCCACATGATGAAGGAGACCCACAGCTTTTGCCTGAGCTCCTGTCAGCCCGACGGCAACTCAGATGCTGAGCAGGGAAACGGCTTCCAGATTTCCTGACTCCCCAGATCTAGGTTCCCTTTCTGGGGGTAGAGAGCACCAGCCATGGGGTGCACACCTGCCACATTACCAAACTACAGGGGCTTTTCCTGCCCATACCAGCTCCACTTGCCCTTCTTCAAACTGAAGCATGGCAAAGATGAATTACTCCACGAGACTAGCGAGCTGCTCCTGTGTTTTTCAACATCATGGAAAACCAAGGCTTGGAAGGGGTCCCCGGCAGCCGGCTGCTCTCACCTCCTGCCCAAAGCAGGGCTGATCCCATGGTCAGAGCAGGTTGCTGAGGAGCTCATCCAGCCCAGGTGTGAACATCATCTCTTCACAAAACAGAATGCACCACGAGAAATGGGGTGTGAGTGCAGGGAGAGGCTTCCTGCTGCAGGCTGCACCCCGGATGTCCTGCACAGACACCCCACTCGAACCTCACCGCCCGCACACCAAGACGTTTTGCTGTTGCTCGCCCAATCTGGCCTGTACCGGACGCAGGTTGGTCAGTCTGCTCAGCAGACCTAACAGCAGAAATTTTTCAAACCCGTAGCAACTGGTCAGGCCATCCCAACCCCTGGAATGCCCCATGTGCACGCACACAGCCATGTAAACAATACATGCACGCAGATGTCAAGCACTCCCCAAGCTCAACAACTTCCGTGGCCTGTATATCCCGCTGGCTTTGCCAGCTTCCTATTCAGCACGGCATGCCAGCTCCTCGTTTAATGTAAACGAGCGTCGCTTCATTGAGAGCAATGAAGCGAGGGCCGTTTGCGCAGGCTGCCGATCCATCTCCCACGATGCGAGCTGTTGCTCGTGCAAAATCGGCACCTGCGCTTACCCACCACGATGCACCAATCTCCCTGCTTAGCGCTCACCCTTAAATTTCACGATCCCTCCCTCCCCACGGGAAACACTAAGTTCACCCTGGGTCTTGTCGTTGCTCCAGGCAAGGGGCTGGGGTTATTTTCCAGGCCCTCCGTACTTCTGGGGTCTCTGGACGCAGCACTGCTCCGAGGTGCCTGCTGATGAGCGCCGGCCTCCCTGCGCTCAAGCGGGAGATACTCACCTCGCTGCCGCGCAGTTATCACCAAAAGGGCCACCCAGGTTCCGAGAAACGATCGCTGGTTCATCCTAGAGGAGGGAAAGAAACCCAGACTTGCATCACATGGGTAGGAAACTGCATCCTGAGCAAACCCCGGGTGACGCCGGGTACCATAGCTTCCCAAAGCCACCCGGCCACTGCCAACAGGCAGCTGTTTCAGAGATGGAGGTCCCTCACCCAGCAGGCAGACCCGAAATGCCTTCAAGAGGTGTAATGAGACCTCCCGGGTAATAACAGCACATCGCCCTGCAGGTATTGTCAAAGGAAGCCCATAACCACAGAGAAGAGCTACTGCTGATTTCACGCAGCGTTTGGAAGTCACAAATAGCCCAGCTCTCCGTGGGCCTTCTACTCTCCTCGTAGTTCAAAAGCAATTCCTCCCTGATGCGCTCAGTGCGAGGATGGACGCTTCTGCCTGATTTCAAGGGAACAGCTTCACACTGCTCCCAAGCGAGAGCCGACGCAGAGCTGCAGCGCGCTCTAGTTAAGGGGCTTCAGGCGCCGCTTCCACTGATGCTTTGCGCTGGCTGCTAACACAACAATCGCTTACCGTTTTTGACGGGGGTGGAAGAAGCACAAACATTTACACAGCTGGGCAACTCCTTGCTGTACAGGAATCAATGATAGAGAGAGAAGCAGATACAGAGCTGGGAAAATGAAAGTCAAATCCTGTGCCAGCTTTAATTCCTTCCGTGCCTAATGCAATTTGTTACTCATTATTAATCCAATAGAAAAATACCGCTAAAACACCTGCTTTGATTTCTTCACCCGTCGCTTCAGTTCATTCCACACAGCCGCGGCTCACGTAGCGCTCCCAGGAAGGTATCGTGGGCTGTCAGGGTGCACGCGCCCCCCGGAAAAGTACGCAATCAGCTTCAGAGGCAAACTATACCTCTGCATGAGATACAGCCTGAGCTTCAATACCAGCCTCTCTGCCTTCTCAGCTCTGTAATTCCCACGCACCCCAAGTGCATGGACACACTGGCTACCAAACCCAGCGTCTCTATCTGCTCTCCCTACAGATCTGTTTCTACGATGTATGAGGACCCACAGATCCAATTCCTTTCTAAGTACCCCCACAGACATACAGTAACGCATACAGCACAGGACTACAGCGGGGAACGCATCATCTGTCCCACCTCGCTGCCACTTGACTCCCATTACTGGGAATTTGGAAAGCACGAAACATGGTGGAAGGAAAGTTCCTCCCTGCTTCACTGCTCCTCAGCATGCCACTCTCATCAACGCTGGCCACAGCCTGTTTCCACCATGGAAAAGTTTTACCACATTCCCTATCCTGGAAAGATGAAAAGAGGACACCAGTACTTCATATAGATCGTAAATCTGAGTCGCTGAGGATGCGATAGCAGAGACCAGGCAGGGAATGACTAGTGGCAGTCCAAGAGCGAGACGGGCAGCGCTTGGGAAACAGGACAGACAGTAAAGAATACATTACTTAACGTATCACATTCAAAAATACAACTTTTCAGGCATGGAAAGAAAATTACCAACCTGTTTCGTAGACTAGAGGAGCAATCAGGGCTGAAATTTCAGATTGATCTTAGTAGACCAGGGAGAAATCCTATGTCAGTGGAGAATGCATGCCGCTCCTCCTTTGCCAATTATTGCTGATGACTGAAACGATGTCTCAGTCCCCTTGCTCTCGCAATTGAAAAGTCCGTTTCCTTCAATGCTGTTCCAGGGCTGGAGGAGTGTTGAGTTGCAATCGCAACTGTTGCCTCTATTGATAACCAGCTAGCTAATCTGGAGATCAGATTCTGGCCTGGAGAGGGAGAGAAGCCTCTTTCTTCCCCAAAAGCTCACCCCCTTCAGGTGGATTCAGATGGAAATGTCAGTGAGCCGGAGCTGGGCTCGCGGCTGTGCCGCTCAGCATCGCTTTTCGCTGAAGAAGAAAAAACCAACCTCGTAAGAGCCCCTTCCTCCTTTGTGTAAGTGAAAAAACCCACCCCGTCTATATAACGTTACAGCATTAGCATTAAACAGCACTAGGCTTAAAGCAGCGACCAAAGGCAGCACCCCAGAGCTTCACCCGAGTTATGTTCCACCAAATCTTGCTTTACTTTCTGTAACACAGCTCACTTGGGCTTTTAGAGGTGGACAAGGAAAAACTTACCCCGTGCAGCATGCTCTCTCCAAATCCAGCGGGGAGGGTTTCATCGCCATCCCCGCTTCCACTCTCTCTGAAGGGCTGACTGAAGCTGGTGGGGAGTTTCGCTGGGGGACTGCTGCGAGCATTATTACTGGTTTCACTCACCCAACCTGTGATTTCCACCGGGATTTTCCCCGCCGCTGGTGCCCGGGCTGCACAGCGCGCCCGCAGCAGCCGGGGAAGTTCACTGCTGAAGCCTTCTCTCAGCACTATCTCTCTTCAGCTGCAGGTGCCCACGGCTCAGCCCCCAGCTCCCCTGCCTGTCCCTGCAAGCCCAGGGGCTTTGCGAGGTACGCAGCCACCTCGAGGGCTGCGGGTGTAGCCGAGGCGAGGACACGCTGTCCACACACGTGTGACCAGATGCTTGCAGGACAGGCTGAGAGGCAGAACGGCGGCCAAGGGACGAGGGAAGCGATGGGCAGAACCCCGCTGGAGAGGTGACTTATACAGCCTGCATTAAGGCTCAGTTAAGACAGGCGGTGCTCCAACCCCAGCAGTCTGGCCTGGGAAAGCTGCCATGGATACGGACAGAACCACATGGCCCAACGAATGGAGAGGAGACAGGAAGGCCAGCAGCCAAACAAGGAGCACATGAAAGCCCAGACATTTTTTCCCGGATGCTGGGTGCTCCTGGAAGTGTTTGGAAGGTTCATTCTTGAAGCGCCCTGGCTTACCCCAGTAGTTTCTTTTAGCACATCAGGGCACCAGGCAGTACACTGCCTCCACAGCAAATCCCGGAGTTTGCTTTCTCTTTACCTCCCAGGCATGGCCTTGCTAGCAAGAAGCTTTCTTTTTTAAATTATTTTTTACCTTTTCTAAACCAGCTTTAGGAGGGCAGGGGGATTGTAAAGCACTAACCGATATTCCAGGGGCAGATTACTTCCAGCCTGCCACTCCACATTCCTTGGCTCTTCCTTGCTCTCCCATACAAATCTAAAATGTTACCAGCCACAGGAAAATCAATTGACTCTTCTCATCCTGTTTTGCAAGACACAGAAAGCTGGTGAAAATAGTTTTCCCTCTGCTCCTTTGGCACTTTAATATTCTGGTCCTGTTCATCCCGGGCAAGTCTACACTGATGAAGTTTGATTAGGTTTCACTGTCTCTTTGGGGAAGACTTTGTCTTCCAGGCTATTTTCTCTTGGCAGGGGATGCTCCCATCATGCAGCGCTGAGCACATCAGAGCTGAACAAACAACCACCTTGGGTTTTTTTTCTTCTAGCAGAAAACTTCCTTCCCATGCCCGACCCTCAGGAAAAAGCAAGCGCTGAACATGAGACAAGGGGGTTTCTGGCTGCTTGACCTCGGCAGAGCAACCACAGGCTCGTTTTAACCCCAAGGCTGGTCCCACCGAGGACATGGAGCAGGAGAGCGAGCTTGAGCCTTGCTCCTCACCTGGAAATGGAGACGAGACACTGCCACAGAGAAATAGAGTCCAGGAGAGGACTAGGTCTTCCAGCACTGCGTCTTCTCCTTTCAACAAGTGGCATCTCCCACAAGTGAGGTGGCTGTGCCCGAGCTCACCGGGCAGACAGCCGGCACGAACAGCAGAACAGAAAACCTCATCAGCTTTCGCTCTCCCTAAGGTGCATGTTAAGCGTGTGGGTGAAACTGAGGGAAACATTTTGCTTCAGGGGACACAGAAGTGCAAAACTCAGGACACTTTTCTTGTGTAAAAACTTACATAAGTTTATTGAGCTGATCCAAACCAATTACCTATTTGGCCTGAATTCCACCACTAAAGTCTGCGAGCAAACCAAAGGCAAACCGTGGGAGCGGGAAGTATATTCCCTGTGAGAGAAACCAGAATATAAAACAAGATGGACTTACAGTTATTCCTTTTTCTTTAACATTACACATGGATGCACCATTAATAGGGAGCAAGAATAGACCTTCATGTTTAAATTATATGTGAAGTTTCCAGTAACTGCGGAAAAGCAATCACAGAGGCAAAGGCCCGAGATGGCTAAAGCCCCTCGAACGTTGCTCTGGGGAAGGCGTCTCTCTACCGCCTACAACAGTGCCACATTCAAATGCAGGAGGCACAGCTGCCAGGAATACATATTTCAGCCTCCAGGCTGCTTTCAGCACCTCGTTTGCATTTTCAAATCCGCACACGAACAGAACCTACAGAATCTCATTTACAAGCAAAACCGGCACCAGAAGCAGAGCCGCCGCATCCCCTTCTTCCGACTCCAGACCCGCGTAGGCGAGGGCAAACGGAAAGCCTCTCCCCAGAAGCAAGGAGCACCGTTAGGCAGAGTTCCTCCAAGCCGGGCTGCCCTATCATCTGCCACCAGGATGTACGCAACTCCCGATAAAGGGGGGTTAACAAATCCCACCGAGGGAGCAGAGGACAGTCGCCACACCATGCATATTCATAACCATCGCCAGTTAAGTGATCCGCCCAAAACATCTGGACAAAACATGGATATTCAATAGGAACGTATCCAAAAACACAAGAGCACAGCGTCTAACCTCAATACACGGAGCCGTGCGACACTTTGGTATATAGCTGTCACCCAATTCCTCCCGAACCGGGTGCTTTTCCCACTGCGGAGACTGCCCGCGGCAGAGTTTAGCATAAACAACAAAAGAGTTCTTGACAAAAGTGGCCCTGGGATGGAAGGACACAAAAGCTAGAGAAGCTTGCAAAGCTATTTTGCTTTCTCAGAGGAACGCGACAGAACCGGGTGCCTCGTGCTAAAGCAGGTGTATGTCAGCGGGACACGGCCCGCCCCGACATCGCGCCAGTTCGAACGGCCCGCCCTCACAGGAGGGACCCTCCAGGATTCTCGTCACTCACCGCTGGCCCCAAAGCCCCTCTCTCGCTCAGAGCCCTCCCCTCTCTCCCCAGG